TGCCAGCACCAGTCTTTCATTCATCACTGACTGGACATTGCGGATCTTCTCCGAGGTCTTCTTGTCGACAGCCTTGCAAGAATTCTCCAACGCCCCAGCAAATTTCCAGCAATGTCCAACTGTTGGGTAGGGCTTTCTCGTATGACCTCCCTAAACCTAAACTGGCAACCTTGAACAAGGACCCCGAATCCCTTAAACTGCAACGGATTGAAGTCAAGTCTAGAGTGTGGGTCTAGGAATGTAGGGTTTAAGGGTTTAGGGTTCAGGGCGCCAAGCCCAAAAGTCCTGAACCGCATGGGCCCTTGGGTTGTTTTGGGCATATATGGGATAGATAAGGGATCCCCCTTGCAGGGCCCATACTACGGGACCGTGTAACTACCCTAGAAAGTTTTGACAAACTCCGGGCCGCGAGGGTTTAGGCTTTAGAGATTAGGAGGGGGTTGGCGAGAAAACCACAACCCCCTAAACTACTATTTGCTTAAGCACCACCCAAAAAAGAAAATGTTCTTCCTTATAAGGGTGATGTAGGGATTCTTATCTTTTGTTTTTTTTTGGGGGGGGGTCTTAAGCAAATAGCAGCAACCCTAAACCTCAAACACTTAACCCGCAACCCCCCCCCCCCCCCCAAAGAAAAGAAAGGCCAGTAAACCCTAAACCTTAAGACCCAAAACCCCAAACCCTAAAACTCTCAATCCGCACCCCCCTAAACGCTAAACCCTAAACCCCAAACCCCAAACCCCAAACCCCAAACCCCCCCCCCCCCAGAAAGGCCGAGGGCCTTCCAGGCAGCAAAGGAATCCTTCGTTGCTGAGCTCACAAGCCCCCGAAAAAAGGGGCACACTCTTTCACTAGACCCGGGAGACTAGGAATAAACAGGGTGCCCTTCTTGGTTTTAAGGGGATTCTAAGGGGACCCAGCCCTACAAGAAAGGAAAAAAGGGCCTACTCCCGGTCCTAGTTCAGTTCTATGGGGGGGGGGGGATGATAAACCCTAAGCATTAAGCCCTAAACCGTAAACCCGAACACCCCAAGCCCTGAACCCTAAAGCCTAACACCCTTCCCCCAAAAAGTGTAAAGTGTACTCGTTCAGCAGGCTGCTTAGGTATATTAGAGGATATGGCTTATATAGGGGCTACACAGGGGTACAAGATTAAGGGTCTCTTCCCTCCGTTTACTTGAAAAGTGTAAAGTGTACTCGTTCAGCTGCTACTTACTTCTCCAATCACCAAGGGAGAAAAAAAGGGCTACACTTCATTATACCTACTAAATAAGGAAAATCCAAAAAGCTAAACCCTCAACCCTCAACCCTCAACCCTAAACCCTAAACCCTAAACCCTAAACCCTCAAATAAGAAAAAGAATCGGGATCGGGTTCCGCCACCAGCTGCACCCGGCCGAAGCCTCCGGCCCCCAACAGGCATTTCAGCTGCAGCCTGCTGAAGTTGGTGTCCACCTCAGGGTATCCCTAAACCCTAAACCCTAAACCCTGAACCCTAGACCCTAGACCCTAGACCCTAGACCCTAAACCCTAAACCCTAAACCCTAAACCCTAAACCCTAAACCCTAAACCCTAAACCCTAAACCCTAAACCCTCAGCCGCAGTTCGATGTCCCAGGCGCCAAAAAAGGCTCGGGGGCGAAGGGCCCTTCGTGAGGCTGCAGGGATGACCTGCCATGGTGGTTTAGGGTTTAGGGTTTAGGGTTTAGGGTTTAGGGTTTAGGGTTTAGGGTTTAGGGTTTAGGGTAGGGCCTAAAGGTGCTACAGAGCCCCTAAACCCTCCAGGCTCCGTGTGTACCCTTTCGGGTTTAGGGTCTAGGTCGTGCTGTACCCCAAACCCTAAACCCTAAACCCTAAACCCTAAACGTCCAGCCTCGACAGATCTGCCAGCAGCTCTGGCAAGGCGTTGGCTGAAGGCTTGGTGGCCAGTATCTCTCGCACCAGGCCGCAGAAGATGACCGTCTGTTCTTGCCTTCTCTCTAGGGTTTAGGGTTTAGGGTTTAGGGTTTAGGGTTTAGGGTTTAGGGTTTAGGGTTTAGGGTTTAGGGCTTCGGGCTTAGGGTTCAGGGTTTAGGGAGACTCCCATGCCCCTTAAGTTAAGGAACATTCCTTAAAGAATAGGAGGGTTCTTTACATGCTTTATGGAATATTCCTAACTAAGGGGTCAGACAATGAGTTCAGGGCTTAAAAAGGAGGGTTTGGGGCTGAAGAGAGGGGATTTAGGGTTCAGGGTCTAGGATTTTTGGTCTAGGAGTTACGGCCTCTGGGTTGCATGGCTTATTCGGGTTTAGTATGGCTTAGAGGGCTTTTCTAACTAAACCCTAAACCCTAAACCCTAAACCCTAAACCCTAAACTGCAACTCGAGAGGGCATTCCCAAGCGCAGGGCAAGCGGCTGCTGCTGCCTCGGCTTCCTTGACTCTCGAAAGAAGCTGATGGCTTGGGGCGCGGAGGGTAGCTTTGAGGGTTTCTTGTTGTTCAAACTTTATACGCCGAAGCCCTAAACCCCAATTAAACCCTACCTAAACCCTACGCAGAGGAATCCATGCTTGAAGTAGCGAATGATCACGGTGTTCAGCCACGGTGTGCAGCCGTGCAGTAAGTAGCTGAAGATTTCGCCAGGCTTTATGGATCTAGACCCAATATAGTAACGGTTTAGGGCTTTAGGGTTTAGGGCTAGACCCAAGGGTAACCTAGGAATGAGAAGGGTACCCTTTTTTGTTCACAAGGGCCTTTTTCACAGAACCTAAACCCTGAAAAATGGAAGAAGGGCATCTGCTGGGTCCGAAGGATTCTCGGGATCCTACACTTGGCTCCGGTTTTGAGGGCTTAGGGTTTAAGGCTTGAAGGCTTGAGGGTTTAGATTGGGATGTTCCCCCCTGTACCAACAGTCCTTAGTCGGAAGTATAGTACCCCCTCCTATAATCCCACAAAAGGACCGATAGTTTAAGGTGGAACATTCCAAGGGTATAGCGTTTAGCCTCAACACTACAGGCCTAAACCCTAAACCCTAAACCCTAAACCCTAAACCCTAAACCCTAAACCCTAAACCCTAAACCCTAAACCGACAGGCCAGGAAAAACAAGTACTGACATGCGCCAAAAGCAGCTCGTCGAGCTCCTTCTTGGGGTTGACCTTGCCCGCCTTGCTAGGGGGGTTTAAGGTTTTTGGGTTTAGGTTTTAGGGTTTGGGGTTTAGGGTTTGAGGTTTTGGGTTTAGGGTTTAGGGTTTGGGGCTAGGGGTTGGGGTTAAGGGTTTGGGGTTTGGGGGTTTGGGGGGGCGGGGGGGGGGGGGGGGGGTAGACCCAGGAGTAACCTAGGAACAGAAAGGGTACACTTTTTTGGCTTTAAGGGGGTGAAAAGGGAACCCCGACCTTAAGACAAGGAAATAAGGGCCTACTCCGGGCGTCAGGGGGTTTAAGGCTTTTGGGTTTAGGGTTCAGGGTTGGGATGTTCCCCCTTGTACTAACAGTCCTCAACCGGGATTATAATCGGGGTACGACAATCCCTATTAAGAACTGTTAGTATAGGGGGGGAACATCCCAAGTTTAGGGGTTTTACTGGGCTTGGGGTTTAGGGTTTAGGGGTTGAGGCTAGTTAGGGCGGGGGATAAGATTTGAGGCTTAGGGCTTAGTCTGTGGCCCTGAATTGCGGTCAGATCGCCCTTATATGCACAATGAGGGCCCTTGATTCGGATCCCTTTGAACGGACCATACTATGGTTCCAACCTTAGATTTGGGGGGTTTAGGGTTTAGGGTTTAGGGTTTAGGGTTTAGGGTTTAGGGTTTAGGGTTTAGGGTTTAGGGTTTAGGGTTTACCCGATTCCCTAAACCTTAAACTTAAAAAGGGGCTATTGGGGATTGCGGCCCGAGCTGCGCTTGTTGGGAGGGACCGGCCAGCGAAGAAGTGCCGTCCTGGGCCGGCCCCAAAAACCGAAGAAACCTTAAGTATCCCTAAGGGTCCATGTACCTAATTATTACATACTTGGGCCCTAAAGTCCCTGTTTTTTTGGGAGGTACTTTAAGGCCCAAGTATATAGTAATTAGGTACATGGCCCCTTAGGGTATGATCCTCTTCCACCCAATTAGTTAGGGGGGTGGGGGAATAGAAAAGATCTAGCCCTAACCCTAAACCCTAAACCCTATAGCCTCTAAACCTCATAACCCTAAACCCTATAAACCTGAAAAAACGCAGAAAATGTCCCAAGGGCCCTTACCTGGCGTCGGAAATACCACGCCAGGCCAAGGGTCAGAAGAATGGCCATGCCGCCGACCAGAGCGATGCTGACAATTTGCCACCACATGGCTCTCGGAAAGTACAAAGTTTCTGTTTTTCTCCGGGGTTTAGGGCTTAGGGTTTGGGGTTTGGGGTTGAGGGTTTGGGGTTTAGCGTGTAGGGCTGTAGGGTTTAGGGTTTCGGGCCCCCCCCCCCTCCCGCTCCCCCGACTTTTGGGAACTGAGTTGATGCACGGCTTTTCGCCTGAAGCTTTATTTATGGCTCGGGGTGCTGGGTCTTGGCTTTGGGATCCAGGCATGTACAGTCTAGGGTTTAAAACATGTCGGGGTTCCCGCACACTGGGGCCGGCGAATTCCGATTAACCTCTTGCACAAGTCCGGAACCCAGAGCCCTAACGCCCTAAACCATAAAGCGGGGTATGAAGGCTTTGTATCGGGACACGAACTCCCTCTCCCTCTGTCTCTCCCTCTGTCTCTCTCTCCCTCTGTCTCTCCCTCTGTTTCTCTCTCAGTTTCTCTCTCTCTGTTTCTCTATCAGTTTTTCTTTCTCTCTCGCTCTCTCTCCCTCTCTCACTCTAGAGCGTACGTGATATTCCTCATGGGTTTGTTTAGTCAGTCTGTGAAACTTAAGGGTTTGGAATTCAGACGGGTGAAGGGGCCCAAAGGGCAAAACTCTCCATGTAAACCCTAAACCCTAAACCCTAAACCCCAAACCCTACACCCTAAACCCTAAAACCCTGCCCATGGCCGGTGGCCGATCCCAAACCGTGGCCTGAGGCTGCGCCGCCACGTCTCTGGCGGAGCCTCGGTATCGTGCAACCCGAGCCCCTACCCAGACCTTCCAAAAAAGTCCCTTAGTTGAGGAACATGCCTTAAATCATATTAGGGATGCTGCGATAACTCAAAGTATATTCCCTAACTTAGAGAACTACTCATGAGGTTAGGGCCTGCATGTTGCTTCTAGTGGAGGGTTTGGGTGTCGGGCTAGGATTCCCAAACCCCCAAACCCAGCGAAGAAACACCAAAAGACAGGAGAAGCTCTGCCTGAACCAGCTGGCTTCAGGGGGTTGGGGGTGAGGAGTGGAGAATGACCCTGAAGGAGGTAGGGTTTAGGGTCCAAGCCCTAAACCCCTCAACCCCCAAACCCTAAAGCCTGAACCCTAAACGTTTTGAGGCCTTCTACAGGGGCCTGAACAATTAGAACAGGGTGTTGCGGGGGGGGGGGGGGGGGTTCTCAGAGCATAGAAATACAGGAACCATAGTGGAATACTAGTAGTAACTATTCCGACCCCTACATTCTACCCTTATATACCCTAGACAACCCCAGGGCCCATACCTCAGAACCCTTTAAGAGACCCTAAACCCCAGTCGGGATACGTGACCTAAGGAGGTAAAGAAGGTAAGGGAATATTATTGGTAATTATTCCGGGACCCCCAAATTAGGGTTGCCAAAGTCCCCCAGCTTTTCATGTACTAAGGGTCCGGGCTAGGCAGCGAAGGCCTCCCAGAGAGTTTCAGGGTTTGGGGGGTTTAGGGCTTAGGGCTTAGGGCTTAGGGCTTAGGGTTTAGGGTTTAGGGTTTAGGGTTTAGGGTTTAGGGTTTAGGGTTTAGGGCTTGCATTTAGGGTTTAGGGTGTGGGGTTTCGGGTTTAGGGTTTGGTTTTGCTTCACCTTGGGGATATGGGAGGGAGACAATCATACCCTCGTAGCCCCAATGTAGCTCCCGCGGCCCCTTTGAACCTTAGGGAAGCTCAGGGAGACCCCCCCCTTGAAACACCCCGCCTTCAAGAACCCCAAACCCTGAACCCTAAACCCTGGTCCCTCCTTCTGATTCAAGGTGCCGGGCTTCATATCCAAAAACCCTACAAATCGGCAGCATATGTGAGGCATAGTTTTCATGGTCTCCCCGACTACCCCTCTCTATACTACCCCGCCCTAGGTTCCCCCCCTTCATGGGCTCCCCGACTACCCCTCTCTATACTACATAAGGCTAAAAGGGATATTTGAACCTAATTAAGGTCATTTAAGGGGGAAACTCAAGGGGGGGGGGGTATAGAGGGGGGTATTTGGGGAACCCATGAAGTTTTCGAAAAGGGAACCATTGCACAGTGACCCGGAAAGAACAGTCATATCATCATACTTCATGTCCCCCAACAAAAACCGGAAACCCCCTACAAACCTAGACCCCTAAATCAGAAACCCTACTTAATACCCTAAACCCTAGAACCCTGAAAACCTCAACCCTAACACCCGAAATCCTAAACCCTAAACCCTAAACCCTAGAACCCTGAAAACCTCAACCCTAACACCCTAAACCCTAAAACCCCAAAGGGCTCCAGGGCTCGCGTTGAGGAAGCGGCCTGTAACCTCGGGGGTTTAGAGGGTTCGTGGCCTAGGGTTGTCGTTTTGGGTTTAGGAGACCCTAAACCCTAAACCCTAAACCCCAAACCCTAAACCCTAAACCCTAAACCCTACAACGCATTTCTTCTGGGTTGAGAACTTGAGGCCCTTTCAAGTGTCCAAGTATAAGATCTCTCTTGAATCAGGAAACGTAAATGAAGCCGGCGAAAACCCCAAAATGCGCATGGCACTTCCAGAACTCGAAAAGCGCCTAGGCGAGAGCGCAGATCCCAAAATCACAACCAGCACCTCAACGTTGGAACCCGATGGTCTTGCCACGCTGTTTGGGGAAGACCCTAAACCACAAAACCCCGAGACCCCAAAAACCCAAAAACCTGAAACCCTGAAACCCTAAAACCCGAAAACCCGAAAACCCCTAAACCCTAATACCCTCTAGGCGTCCCTAAACCCTAAACCCTAAACCCTAAACCCTGAACCCTAAACCCTAAACCCTGAACCCTAAACCCTAAACCCTAAACCCTAAACCCTCAAACCCCTCTGCAGGCGCCGCTTGCTCGGCCTCTTTGGCTCCGCGAAGGGCTGTTCAACCTCAGACCGCCGCTAGGGCTTGGGGTTTTGGGGGTTTAGGGTTTAGGGTTTAGGGTTTAGGGTTTAGGGTTTAGGGTTTAGGGTTTAGGGTTTAGGGTTTAGGGTTTAGGGTTTAGGGGTCTATAAGGGTTTAGGGTTGAGGGTTTAGGGTTGAGGGTTTAGGGTTTAGGGTTGAGGGTTTAGGGTTTAGGGTTTAGGGTTTAGGACTTTGAAAACCAGTTTTAGGGTCTCTATATATGGTCTCTCCAGGGTTTGTGAGGGTTAGGGGGTCAATATACGGCATTTATTTTAGGGTTTACAAGGTCTTTAGGGTCTTCCCATAGGGTTTTTGGGTTTATAGGGCTGATAGGGCTTTTATAAGGTTTGAGAGGGTGTGGGGTTTGGGGTTTCATTCACGCTGCTTTAGCAGCTTTTGGGTTTAGAGCTTGCTTTATCAGCTTGGTAGTCGGGCTTTGAAGCTTTTTGGCGGTTAGGGTTTCGGGTTTTTGAGAGTGTTTGAGGGTGGCTTTGGATCTTGGACATTTAGGGCCTAGGGCTTTACACATTCGGCAGATGAGGGCTTCAGGTGCTTTCGCTCAAGGGAGAACTCCACCGTACACCGCTGGTACAGCTGCATCTCGAGCATTGGGACTAACCTAATAGAAGTCAACATGGCATGGTTATCTGCCAACACGTTGAAACAAGGTATTGAAGGTCCATATGCCCTAAACCTAAGCCCGAAACCCTTGCAGCCCCCAAAAGTCTCCGATAATCCGTACACGCCCGGATTTTTCGACGAAGTGCACGAGCAAGCGTGCAGCGGCCAGTCTTTGCTGACGCGGTGAGACGGAAAAACTTGTCCCAAACTGTAAGCCTAAACCCTAAACTAAACCCTAAACCCTAAGGGTTCCTAAGAATGACCCATAGGGTACTATTTGGGGTGTCTCCTTCTGGGTTCCTCAAAGGGCCTGGGTAACTAACCCCAAACTGCAAAACCCTGAAACCCTGAAACCCTAAACCTCAAACCCCTAAACCCTAAACCCTAGCCCTAAACCCTAAACCCTAAACCCTAAACCCTAATCCCTAAACCCTAATCCCTAACCTCTTACGTGGTGGCATTGGCGCTGCAGCTGCTGGGGCAGAAGCTTGGCCTGTCTGATGCCAGACAGCCGCAACTTTCCTTCTCAGGGTAGGAGGCTTAGGGTTTAGGCTTTAGGGCTTTACGGGATTAGGGGTTTGGGGTTTTAGGGTTTGGGGCTTTAGGGTTTAGGGGTTTGGGGGCTTGGGGTTTAGGGCTTCGGGGGCGTAGGGGTTTTGGGGTTTAGGGGTTTAGGGGTGTGGGGCGTAGGGGTTTTTGGGGGGTGTAGGGGTTTAGGGGCTTAGGGTCCGGGCTCCAAATGCTTCAGAAAAACCCTCTACAGACGTACTTGCTGAGTTCATAGGATCCCCCCAAAAAAGGTGAACACTTTCAGTTCTAAAGGGGATTATAGAATCCCAAAAAAAAAGTGTGAGAAGTGCACTCATGGCTGGCTTCGGAACCCCTCCGAAAAGTTTAACTTTTAGGGTTTAGGGTTTAGGGTTTAGGGTTTAGGCTCCACAAAAAAACAAAAAGTTAAACTCCTAAGAGCCAGCCAGAAGAAAGCCAAGCACGCATTCAGCTACTAAGACGACACCGGGGCTCTAGCCAGGGAAGACCGTCCAACCCTAAGATTCCCGAGCTTCCTCGAGGAAAGCCCGAAGGACCCCAATACCCTGGGAGCAGGGTTTAGGGTTTAGGTTTTAGGGCTTAGGGTTGTAGGGAACCAAAAAACAACCGCGTGGGTTCGGGCTTTGTCTAGGGGGTCAGAACCCAGACCCCTGAGAGGATTCAAAAAGCTTAGGGTTTGGGGTTTAAGGTTTACAGGGTTTAAGGTTGAGGGTAAGGATTCCTAAGAAAGACCAACTAGCTAGTAGTATAGGGGTGCGATTTGGGAGTTCTACTTTTGGGGATCCTCGCGGGAGGTTCTGCCAAGGAGGCCCTGTAGGTGGGTTGACTAAAGGCTCTTTTAGGCCTGACATCTTGGGTTTAGGGTTGAAAAGGGGCTAAGTAAATAATTTAATTCGCCTTTGGTGTTGTTAAAAAGAGTTTCGAGTATTCAGCACCGAAAACTTTGTGGGTAGAGGGCAGAACCCTAAACCCTAAACCCTAAGCTCCCCCCCAAAAAAAGAACAAACCAGAACCCGAAAAAGCCCTCGACAAAGAAACGCTCTCTCCCAAACCCAAAACGCCCTAAGCCTCAACCCTACAGTAAACCCTAAACCCTAGCCCCCTGAACCCGAGATCCTAAACCCTAAATCCTAAACCCTAAATCCTAAACCCTAAATCCTAAACCCTAAACCTCAAAGCCAAGTTGCCGGGCAAAGCCACGCGAGTGGCCGGTAGAGAGCCGGGAATCCAGCGCACCAGTCCTACACGGTCATTTCTCAAAATCCTGGTCCCTTTGGGGCCACCCTGAACTCCCCAAAACACAAGACCCTAAACCCTAAACCCTAAACCCTAAACCCTAAACCGGACTTGAAGGAGGGACCCGTACAAGGAACCTTAGTAGGGGACTATATAAAAGGGGGAATGAGATTAAGGATCCCTTCTACGGGTCCCTCCTTATACCCTCAACAAACCCACGAGCCGCGACGACCCTAACGAAGGCCCCTGGACCTTAAACCTTAAACCTGATTCCTAACTACGTCCCAGAACACCCTACAGCCTGTGTAGGGTTTGTGGTTTAGGGTTTGAGGTTTAGGGTCTAAACCCGAACCCGAAATCCTCAACCAAACCGCAAGATCCCCAAACCCCACACAAAACCCCAAGAAAGCCTAAACCCTAAGCCCCAAGAAACCCTAAACCCCAAACCCCAAGCCCAAAACCCCTAACCCTAAACCCTAAACCCTAAACCCCAAACCCTAGCCCTAAACCCTAAACCCCCTGAAACAAGCAGAGGCTCGCCGGAGCTGGAAATCTCCAGGCGCACCGCTGGGTCGCGGAACGCGGCGCAGCCCTGGACCTGCCGCCGGTTCAGGGTTTAGGGTTTAGGGTTTAGGGTTTAGGGTTTAGGGTTTAGGGTTTAGGGTTTAGGGTTTAGGGTTTAGGGTTTAGGGCTTAGGGCTTAGGGCTTAGGGTTTAGGGTTTAGGGTTTAGGGTTCGTTTGGGGTTTTGGGTTTAGGATTAGGGGTTTAGGGTTAAGGTGTTGAGGGTTTAAGGTTTTGGGTGTAGGGTTAAGGCGTTTGGGGTTTGAAAGGGCTCGGGACTCGTTGTCGGCATCTTCAGAGAAATAGTTGGAGCCCAGCATGCGGCCCGACGAGACTCTGCACAGGCCTGCCCCAGACCTGAGCGTGACATGCCAGTTCTCTAAAGCGTGGTCCCAATCGTGAGAGCTCGAACTACGGCGGCCCGTGGTACTCTAGAGGGAGCCTATCATATCACCCACCCAAACCTCTAAACCCCAACACCCAAACCCTAAACCCTAAAAAAAGTGCACTCAGCTCTAGACCTCTGGCAACAGGTACTGCCTTGAACGGTGCAACCCTAAACCCTAAACCCTAAACCCTAAACCCTAAACCCTAAGCCCTAAGCCCTAAGCCCTAAGCCCTAAGCCCTAAGCCCTAAACCCTAAACCCTAAACCTGACCATGAGCCTTGCCACCAAAACAGGGCCCTGAACTTAGGAGACCGAGCATCTGGGTAGTGCGCTCAACTAGGGTCCTGTTTTGGGCCCCTAAACCCTAAACCCTAAACCCTAAACCCTAAACCATATATAATAGTGACACCCTTAAAGGACTCAATTTAAAGAACTGCTGGCCTTCATGGTCGACACGAAGTCCAGGATAGCCTCGGCGGGGTCATTTCGAAGGCGTACGGCCCCTAAGGGTCCATGTACCTAATAGGGTTTAGGGTTTAGGGTTTAGGGTTTAGGGTTTGGGCCTTAAAGTGCTTCCTTTTGAGGGACTTTGGGGCCCAAGTCTTTGATAATATGGTACAGAGTGTACTTGGACCTTTAGGCGGCAAACGCTACAGCAAAGTCCACAAATCCCCTAAAATAACCGACAAAGCCTATAGATACACAGACCTTCCAAAAATCTTTAAGCAAACCATATACCCAAAGTCATACTAAGGATCATAATTCTGAACTATGGGTTGTATTTAAGGATTTCTGGAAGATCTGGATAGCCCTCTACTAGGCTGCCCAGTAACCTAGGCTTAAAAAGGGTGCCCTTTTTTGCTTAAAGGGGTTTATAAGGGAACCTAAACCCCCAAAAAAGGGAATAAGGGAACTACTGGGCATCCTAGTCTAAGCCCTCTGAGTTACAAACTCTGAAGCTGCTGAATCCAACCGCAGCCCCCCGCATGGTACCCAGAGAGCCCGACTTACCTTCGAATTAAGGAATTAAGCCTTAGGGTTTAGGGTTTAGGTTTTAGGGTTTAGGGTTGAATCATATTGAGGATTTCCATGTACTTTAAGGTCTATTCCTTAATTAAGGGGTGTTGTGCTCTCTGGATATGACTGCAGCTTCATGTCGAGCGTTTCGGGCCCTACGGCCCAAGCATGGTTTAGGGTTTAGGCTTAGGGTTTGGGGTTTAGGGTAAGAAGGTTGGGGGCTCTACTCCCCCTTTGGGACCTTAGCAAAAAGAAAACACTTACAGCATTCTCTTGGGTTTCGAGTACAAGGAAACATAACTCCTAAGGGGCTATGGGGAGAAAAAGACATATTTACAACATTGTTTTGGGTTTTAAATAAAAGAGACATAATTCCTGAGGGGGCTATGGGGAGCGTTTGGACGCCTGAGCCCTAAACGCTCAACTTGGGGGGGGGAAGGCGTCGGGTATAGGGGTCTCAGGGTTTTAGGGTTCTAGGGCTGCAGGGCTGTAGGGCTTTGGAGCTTCAGGGCTTTAGGGTTCAGGGATTTAGGGTTCAGGGATGCGGGGTCTGGGGAGTAGGGTTCAGGGCTGCGGGGTTTGGGGGTCAGGGTTCAGGGTTTTAGGGTTT